CGAATCGTGGAACGATTACGTTGGATGCGTGGAAAATGAAATCACTAAACCCAAGTTAGTTAATCGATAATCGATCTTAATTGGAATGCCGCATTCGTTTTTAAAAATGTTACCTACAGCCACGAATACTAACTTTGCTTCTTGAATATCAAGGAGAATATATTATACGCATATATACCAATGCTGGAAGATATCTTGGTTTTTATTGAATGTTCACCTTTTTGCTCTTAAGGCGAAAAAGTTTCACAATTTCACGGTTCGAAAAGTGACATGATCGCTAAATCGTCGAGTTCACGTGGAAACTTTTCACTTTGCACGTTTCCGCCCTAGGGAAAAATTACGTGATTGCTGCCCAGAATCGACTTTTCGCTCGTACGCGAGTCTGAGACACTTTGACGTTTAATTCCGTGTACCTATGATAAGTGATCTATGACAATTGACGAAGAACGAAGTATGATTCTTGTCGGAAAGCTCCCGGAATAGTTTCGTATTAGCAAAGATCTTTGGGTCTCTTCTTCACGGATTCGCCATTTTGCACACCGCCAGCCGAGATCGCGGAAGACGCAAGGTTCGCGGTTGAAGTCCTTCGCGAGCTTGGACGAGTCGTCGAGCGTCCGGCGCCTCACTCGGGGAAAACCCACTTTCGCGCTTTCGCGGCCCGAGGCGTCCCGTAAAACGCCCAATCATAGCGCCGCGTCGCCGGGGGGTGAAGAGGGTATCAGCAAGTTAGCGTTCTCCAAGACGAAGCTATTGCATACGCGTCCTCGCGTTCTCGAGAGTTCCTTCTCCACTTCCTCGTGAAACTTACTTTTATCGGGAATGCTGTGTGCGTGTTGTATTTTGTATTCGTGTGTGTATGCGTGTACCTGTGTGTACGTATGCATGTGTCGGGACAGTCGAGGAGGGGGAGGATTTTCTTTTAGCTGCGTTTCGACGGTCCTGTCTTTCTTCTTTTGACAGAAGGAGCAGGGCGGACGGGCGAGTGGATAATATTACGGTATCGCCAATTTTTATATGGGAAATTTCGGGGAAAAATGGAAGGGAGAGACGTACGGGGAAGAAGAAGGGGGAGGAAGGAGGGAAGGAGAAGTGAGGGAACAGTTTCGTAAAAATCTCACGTAAGCGTCGCGGACCTCAATCGCAGGAGGGGAGCCTCCCGCGCGGCCGGTTGCCGCGCATCCCCGGAAGATGAGAGAGGGTCTCGGCCGGAACGGATTTCTTTGGGTTACACGTAGAGTTGTTTTCTTCTTTTCTTTCGTCGCGCGTCGGAGGACGCGAGGGGAAGATTTTTGCGGAACCGGAGCCTCGGGTCTTGCGAAGGAAGCCGAAATTTCGAACGATGATGTATTCCCTAACACACTCCGCGCTTTCGTCTTCTCGAAAATCGCTCGCTCGCTCACACACACACACACACACACACACACACACTCTCTCTCTCTCTCTCTCGCTCGCTCGCTCGCTCGCTTGTTCGTTCGCTCGCTCTGACTTTCGCTCTCATTCTTTCGCTCGTTTCGCTCGCTCGTTCGCTCAACTCGCACGGAATCGTATCGCGATGCGTGTGTGGCTCTTTAGAATCTCACAGACGCTCGATAGCCATGTGTATATATCAGTCTGCGATACGTCTCTGTTAATTGTCGTCGTTTCAGCACGACGACTCGATCGGGGGCAACGCGGCCTCCATTGGAAAATCGGCCTTTCCGCCATGACGACGATGACGGTGACGACGCGGGGTGGCTCCCGGAGTCGTCGTACAGTACAGGACGACGCTTTTTGTTCATTGTATGACGGGATGGGCTGCGCTCTCGGAGAACGAATCTCGTACGACACCGTCTCGCGCGCGGCTTACACAGCGTTAATTGATCGATGGATTGGAAGTGCGAATTCGCGCCGGTTCCGGCACGTCTGAAGTCGCTGGAAGATTTCGCGAGGAAGAAAGCAGGGCTCCGCGAGTCTCTCGTTCGGGTCGCGTGTGCGACGGGAAGCACGTTGTCCGCCGAAGAATCGATCGAATTTGTCACGGAGAGTTCGACGCCTCGCGGCGAATCGCGGAAATCCGAAAATGCGACTCCCGAGCGCGCGTCTATCTCTTTCCCCTTCTTTCTCTCTTTCCCTTCGACGATACGCGTGAAACGGCGTCTTACTCGGGCCACTATTTGAACTCGATCACGAGAGACGCGTAGTTCTACCTTCATGCGGGTCTCGCACACCACAGAAGGACAGGAAACATCTCGCAGAATATGCGAACGTCGTAGATCGGGTATTTCATCAAGTCGTAGGATTGGAAAAGTTACTTCGCAAGAGTAATCTGGTGCGGTGTGTTATTCGTTACGTATTGGAAGAAAAAATGACATATAAATAAATAAATAACTCGTCGCACGTTGAATGAAGCTGAGAACGTAAATAAATAAATAAATAAATAAATATATAAATAAAAAAGTTATCCGTTATTGTAACATTGTTATTAATTTTGAAAAGTAACTCGTTATCGTTACTGACGAAGAATAATTATAATAACGTCGTTATTACTAAAAAAAATAATTACTAAAAAAAAGTCACAATTACTAAAAAAAAGTTACGGTAACAGCATTTCAATCAACGTGTTATTCTCCAATTCTGCATAAAACCTTGATGCCCGCTGGCGGATTCGTGCGGATTTTTCGTTATTATCGATATTTATCTTATCGATACGCACTTTTATCCAGTTTGAACTATCCGGACAACCCAATGCTTCCTCGTATTTATACTCGTAAGAGAAATCTGTACGAATGCGTACTTCTACGTTCAATTAAACATATAATAATTCAATAAAAACGTGGAAAAACGCATACGTGTCCTCGTCTGCGGGTTAGGGGAGACCTAACGGGTCAAGTTGGCCTAAAGGTCACGTTAGCCAAATATTTCATTCATGTGTATTCGCTGCAAGAACGACAGTTGGAATCGCAAAATGTTCCTCTTAGGATATATAGATGCTTTCCCTACGTCCTAAAAGAAAATCTTTGCGACCCCCCTTTTTCACTCTTGGTCGCTCCCCTAATAAATACACGAACGAAACGCATCGCGAAAATCTGACCCGGCCTCCCTTATAAAGTCCCGGGAAAAAATGATCATATACGATTATATACGATATATAATTGTATAAAATCATATATGAATGTTGCCCATACATGTGGTTACATGTATATGATCATATATGTCCATAGGAAAGAAATGATGTTATGTCATTTAATTAAATGTCGATATCACGTGCTGTCAGAAGCACAAGTAGCCGGAAGCATTTACTTCGATTGTATTTGCATATAGTCTGTAAGCAACATTATTTTTTCGTTATGGACATATACGATTATATATATATATATATATATATATAGCCATGTATAGGCAAATTTCATATGATATGATCTTTTTTTCCCGGGATGGCAGACCGGAAAAAACGCCAGGAATTAACGTCGGTCGGCTGAGTGCCAAGCGACGCCGCCGTGTCGTCTTATGATTTCCCACGCGTTTTTGACTAGATTTCCTATCGTAACTTTCGCGATCCTACGTCGCCGATTGTCGCCGTTCACCAGCTTTGAACTTTCAGCGGTTTTTTGAAGTTTCCTCAAAATACGGGGATTTCCCGTCGGCTCGAGCCCTCCAAATAGATTTGTCATTCGTTCGATTGAGAACTCCTTTTAACGCATCGTCGACCGGCCGCTTTCAGCACCCGGGGATTTCGTCGCGATTCAACGGCGCAAGCCGACAACGCGCGTCCGGTCGGTAATGCGTTAACATTCTCACGCGCGCGCGCGCGCTAATAAATTACCTAATGAAATATCGAGCTCGTGAAACTCGGAGTCGCGCGAGAATCACTCGGAAGCGCGCAGCCCACCGCAGCTCGCCGATATCGACGACGATGTGCACGTATGTGCGCACACACACACACACACACACGTACGAGCACGTGTGCACATATATATACGCATATACGCGGATGCGCGCGTTGCTATGTGTGTATGTGTTTATATATACACATAGGTATATATTTACACATATATACCTATATATATAAATATATAAAGGTATTCATAAATTAGAGCTCCTTATGTATATAATATATAATATATATTATATAATATATAATATATATTATATATATAATATATATATAATATATATTACCTTTTTTAAATTATTGAATAATTAATAGTAATGTTAGTATGTACAGGTACAGGTCTCGTATAGTTGCAGTCGTGTCGTCACTGGTTGTTCGGGTCTTTCTTGCTCTCTCGCTGTTATTGTTGCTGCCGCTGCTGCTGCCGCTGCTGCTGCTGTTGTTGCCGCTGCCGCTGCTGTTCGCGCATTGCACACTCGAACACTCGATGGCGGGTGCCGACAAAATCCGCCACATAACACACGCCGACCTAAGCCTCGGCACGTCGAGGATCGCATCGTGACTTCGCGATCTCGCGACGAACGTAATTTCGCGGGGCGATCTTAATCGGGAGATTAAGGAACGACCGTTAATCTCCTCCCCCGAGAGCGTTTTTTTTGCTTGTCGAGTACGAGACCCATGATTTTCTCTCGCAGCCAAACTCAATGAATCGACGACGATGATTCGGGAGACGGTGACGATGAAGCCGAAGAATCCAGCGATTTCCGTTCTCCTCGCGTTCATCGACAAAATTCGAACGGAAACACCGAACCCGTCCCGAGGTAATTAAGCGCGTCGAGAAACGACGATTACATTCTTCCATTCCGGGCTTTCGTTCCGGGGTAGGTAAAATCGCAAAGCGCGTCGGAGGGATCCGAATGACCGGTGAAATCACCGTAGGACTCGGTCGGTAATCCTTCCGGTAGATCGATGCGCGTCGTCGCGATGCGTCTTCGGCGTGCGTTTTTACGGTGCATCGTGGAAGAGTAATCGAGAAACCCGAGCGACTTTGGTGCCAATCGCTCGCGCAATTGTCCTTTCTTCTCGCCCACTCACCTCACCCCCATCCACCCCACCCTCTCTCTCTCTCTCTCTCTGTCTTTCTCTCTCTCTCTGTCTCTGAAACGGCAGGACCTGGGAACACTCGGTCGAGCGATTAAGCCTGATTATTCTCCGGGGGAGGAAGCTCCCCCTCTCTCTTCGTTGATATAACGCTACGATAGAAAAAATATAGAAACAAGTATTTACAAGGAAGGAACTTTATGCGCCTCTACTAGGACAGAACCTCGTCGATTCGCCGCGGCAAAATTCATTCGTTTCTTCTTCTTCTGCGTTCCTTTTTTTGGTTTCTTTTTTTTCTGCTTTTCATCTCTCTCTCTCTCTCTCTCTCTCTCTCTATTTTCCTCTCTCAACGTCGCGCACTCTCTCTATCTCTCTCTCTCTCGGCACTCCCTCGGCGATAAAGCAACAAAGTTCGAAGTGCTGGCTAAAAACTGAGATCGCTTCGGGCCGAACTGATTGTTTCGGAGCGATCGGTCGAACTGTGCGTCGCGCGACCGGCGACGATCATTTCTGCTGTATCTTATCCGCGGTACCTCTTATCCACCTTTCGCGTCTTCATCCCGTTCCGGACGATCCCTCGCAACGAATCACCCTCCCGTCGAGTCTTTCATCGGGAAGATTCTGGCTTTCGTGGAGCGAAAACGGAAATAATCGTGAGCGATAATGATCAGTTCGAGCAACAACTTCGCGGTGTTTTCGTCCTCGCGAGGCCTTCGTCGAGATATCGTTTCCATTCCTTCCCACGAAATCTGTAGATTCTCATCGGAATCGGGGGAGGACGATTCGTTGACGGGAGACCTCCTCTCACTCGACAGCCGTCGTCTTCGCGAAAGTTCTGTTCTTTCCTGCCATTCCAGAGGGACGGGGGAACCGGGAGAGGGGAGAAGGGAGCTCGTTCTCCCTTCTTCTGTGTTACCTTATCTCGTCAGTCGCAGAGCAACTCGTTTATATTTCCACGGCCGCGTCTCTCGCGCCGGAGCGAAGGGGCTCATACCCCGTGTGCGGCTTATGTACACTCGATAATGTGCGGCTGGGACGTCTCTATGACGCTCGGCCGACCTACGGAGTTTTCCAGGTTGTGGAGAGACGTGGAGTGCGGACCGTGCGCCGATCCGTGCCTGTCGTAATTATCGATGTGCTCCAGCTCGCATTCTTTCGGCATATTTCCTGAAAAGAGCGATACGTTGCCATTTAATGCGCGTTATCTTTAGTATTGATGGTGAAATTTCCTATTTAAAATAGTCTTAAGTTCATCTTCCAATACAGCGTCTAAAGTTGAACTTAAGACGATATTAAGTATGATATCTGATCATGAATATTAGTTTTTGTCTACGATGATGATTATATGTGGCGCTGCTCGTGGTGTCGCTAATAGATCGATCGGTTTGGAATTCCTCGAGTAAACTCATAGACATCTCCAACTTTGTGATAAAACATGACATGTAATTTGTCACTAGAATGTCTCTATCTGTGAAATGTATCTGCGATACATCAAGATCAAGCATATTTTTCTAAAGATATATATGTGATTCATCTTATTGTATATATAATACTATTTTTATACAAACATAGATCTTTTGGTTTTTTTAAATTAATTTTTTTAAATTATTGAATTATTAATCGATTATTATTATATACGCAGTATTATAATATTACAATATATATATATATTAGGTTGAAGCGAAATTAAAATGAATATATACGCAGAATTATAACATTACGATATATATATTATATATTATAATTCTGCGTATATATTCATTTTAATTTCGCTTCAATCTAATATTTATTACTTAGACATTCAAATAAATTTATAGAAAAATAATTTCGTTTGATAAATAATAGATTTACGAAGGATGTCTTTAATGTCACCATTGAAAATCCGCCACAACTATTTTAGAGCATTCAAACAAATAGTTCCCCACTTTTATCAATAGTAAAAATTTCGAAGAGTTCGCCGAGATATCAATAAAATTCTCTTACAGGAATATCACGCGAACGACGATATAGACTTGCAATTTACATCAATCGATTCAATATATACTTTGATTATTAATTACGTACTAAATTATCTTAATTATCTGAATAATTAACTACTAATTTCGTGTTAAATTACCTTAATTTTGACGATATGTATAAATAATGTATGCGGCAAGATGCATTAAACCGTTACACTGCGTATGGAGAAGTTATCGTATGTATTTCAATGCGCTAACTGCCACGGGGAATCACCGATAATCCCCAATGAAATAAATATATGGCGCATGATATAGTGATGATTAACACGTTGAACGCGGCGTCGGTCCCTGGGGACCGACAATGAACTTTCTGTTTGGCCGGCGTCGGTCCCTGGGGACTGACAATGCACTTTTCATTTGGGCAACGTCAGTCCCTGGGGACCGACAGTATCAAAGTTAAAAAATTAATGCAGTAATTTCAATGAAATTTATTAAAACACTTTAAGCGAAAATGTGGCTTGGCTTTACATGTATTACAAAATGTGACTTTTTTGGTCAAATTTCTGGCTGTCTTGCGTCCGAATAGCTTTGTATTTGCATTGTAACATCCCGCACAATATCTTCGGACTTTATGCACGTCTCCTTCTTTTTTTTGTAATTGATGAACAATTCTTTTTTCTTCATTCTTCTTTTCAACATAGACAGGAATTTCCTCATCTAACTGCCGTGTGAGTGTATCCGCCAATTCTCTGCGAAATTCGGTGACTGATATTTCCTTCCCTGTTACTTCTTGAAACATGAACAAGACATTTACGACAGCAGTATTTAGAAAAAGCTCGAAAGCTAACCTTTTATACCATTTTATAGTTTTTCTCAAGGGAGTGCTATACGCACTCATTTGGTCTGATAAGTCAATAGATGTCTTCGCTTTGTTATATTCAGTCGCAATTTTTGGTTTGGGGCAAAATCCTCTTCTTGTTTTTACATTTATTATTTCATTTGAGTTTTTTGTAGATAGGACCAGAACGTCTCTCTTGTCTTTCCACTTCAACACTGTTATACCATTATTATTTTCTTTGGCGATAATTTTCCCGCGTTTCAATTTGGTGGTTGTTACTTCTTTTGGGTTTCCTTTACGATTTATTTCGATTTATTTATACCAATCGGATGTGTATTTTTTTTATATCAGTTTTTTCGCCAAATCGACACTGGTGTACCAGTTATCAGTACACAACGTATGGCCTTTATGAAATAAATTGTTAGATAAACACATTACAATATTTGACGGTGTTGTATTTTCCTTGTCGAGAGTTTTCCCGGTGTGGACACGAAAATTGTATGTGTATCCATAACCACAACACAATTTAAATATTTTTATTCCATATTTATGTTGTTTTTGTTTCAAATACTGTCTGAATACGATTCGCCCGCGGAATGGGATTAGTGACTCGTCAATGCACAGTACCTCGGGTGGATCATAATATTTTTGAAAGTTTTTATTCAGTTCGTCTAAGATAAATGGAACTTTTGATAAACGATCAGATGCGTCAACTACTCTATTATTTACGAAATGTAACATTCTCATGAGAATTTCAAATCGATCTCTCCTCATTACTTTCTGCGAGAATGTTTGAGCAAACAATGGATCCCAAGACCAATACAGACGTAAGGATGGAAGCATCACCAGTCCTATCCATATTATTAGTCCAAATAAACGCTTTATCTCATTTTTGTTTGTTGGGATCCATTTAGCTAAATGTTTAGAGGCGATTCTTGATGCAGCATAAAGATTTGTTTGCTCACTCACGTGTTCAAAAATTTCGTCGGTGACAAAAAGTGCATAAAAAAATCTTCCACTTTCCACTACAATTCCGCATTTTCTCATTAGTTTTTTTGGCACCGTAGGCACTCGTAAAAGGCACAATATTCAGTTGGTTGCCTTTGGGATCAAACCATTCATTTTGTTCACTGGCTTCGTTAACACTTATTGCACAACTGTCATTGTCAGGTTCCATTACTTGGTCTAATGAATTATCATCTTCCGATGATGACGACCCTAATACTCGGCGATTTCGACGTTTGGATGATAAAAATAAATCACTCGACGTATCACTATCTTCTTCTCCGAACATTTTTTGTTTTATGGGCAATAAATATTTTCAAAAACAAACCAAAACTTTTTATTCGCAAGTCGTCTCTACACTTCCGTGGCTTTTTTCTAACTAATCGTCTCTTGGAGGTCGCCTTTTTGCCGTTCCCCTTCCGATTCTCTTTTGTTTATAGATCGTTTGAAAAAAACATAAGAAGGTGAAACAAAATAGTCCTCTGTTTACTCTCCCCATTCCAATACCGCTTGCGCGCTCGTCGTCAGGTGCTCGCTGTCGGCTAAACGGACAGCAATATCGGCGCCGCGCTCAACGTGTTAATGCTGTCAACATATACACCAGGTAGTTTCTATATCTGGATACAGAAACGTATATCTGAACTCACGGGTACTATTCGGACATTCGGATACTATTTAAAATAACCGAATACTCGAGTAATCAGAACTTAAGAGACAATGAACAATAACCCTGGTACCCGTATATCCAAAGTTTCCGTCGATAATTGCCCGCATATGTAGACATCTATTCGTTACTCGAACACATATTTGTTACATTAGTTATATCAGAATACTAAACATTCATATAGAACAGTTCGAATGTTCAATAATATTAATAATAAGAAATAAAAGTAACGAATGTATTCTGAACATATAAATATTAAAAAAGTAGGCAAATCTTTGAAACTTGATGCGTACTGGAAATGCATTACAAATACGCGGATAGTATTTTCAATTTTACAAACGGTAATACAGGTCCTTCTAAATGCATTTGTTCGTTATTTATTATCGCCAGAAAAATTGACAACTCAATAAATTCTCAAAGTAATTGAATGTCCGAATAATACTCGGAAGACTCGAATACCTGCGGTAGTATTTAGGGTATACTCCGATTTAATAATCCCTGGATATCTGGAGATTGACATCACTAATGTAAAACTCGCTGGGCAGTCAATGTTTTAATCATACTATCCTTCATACGTACATCATTCATTACTATAATGAGGATAATTTAGTACAAAATTAATAGTAGATTATTAATTACATATTAAATAATCGATGTAAACAAGTTCATTGATATTCGAGAACGGACAAATCTAAATTATGCACGATGTAGTATCGGCATGACGAAGGGAAAAAGAAGTTTCTTTCATTCGACTCTCGCTGGCCCTTTTTCATCGTATGATTTTATCAAATTGGCACGAAAGTTTGTTGTTATATGTCGTCAGAAGTAAAATCGAAATGACAGGATTATAGGGTCTCGGGTTGATTTTTATTAATCAGAATAGCCGTGATTACGTGTCATACGGACACACAACACCGGTTCATTTTGTGAAATGAAAATCGATTACGTTATTTCAAATAAACCTTTGCGTGTCAGAGAGGCGACAAATCTCTCGCATCAAAATCCAAATTCCCATCGCAAAATCTTTGCTTATTTAGAATTCCTGTCATAATAACAATAACAACAATCATCATTTAAAGAAAACAAGAATCTCTCATATATAGCTTTAAAATCATATATAGCTTTAAAATCAGAAAAAAAACGGAAATAGTTACCTGAACTGTATGAACCACAATCGCTTATGTGGAAGGTTTCAATGGTTTTTACGTCATTAGTAAGGAATTTTTACATAAAAAAATCGTGGTTATTAGTGAATAATGAACGATTACGGTTCCGCGCATGTATTAAAATGTAACTTGGGCAAGTCTGTGAATTCTTTTATATCATGAGATTTTAGATTTAAAAACTTATTTCCATCGACTTGCGTTCCTGATAAGCATTTTATATCACATATATTTTATCACAATTGTGATGGTATTCTAGATTCTAAGGATTTTCAACTAACTTGGAAAGGAAAATAATACAAAAGAAAAAGAAAAATAACATAATTTCCAAATAAAAAATGTCTTGGACCTTAACAGGTTAAATATTTGGATTGTACGCTACTTGTTACATTTTTGTAATTTTCTGTTTTTTTGTCGAGACATTGTAATACATACTAAGGAAAGAAAATATATACTAGAGAAAGATAGCATTTGATTGAAACGATTATGATGTATATGGTGTGAGGTGAAAGTTACTGTTAATAAATAATTGTTATATATTAATTTACGCCAAAAAAGCGGCTCTTATAAGCCAGATTTTCTTTTCCCCTTTCTTGTATATAGTTACGGAATTTTCCTCCTATATGCCAATATCTTGTAAGCTAGTTATTTATTTATATTTCTTCCGATCTCTTCATTTACTTACGGGAGTCGAACTCTTCAGTTACAAGACGAAAAAGCTCTGCTTTACTTACCGACATTCATGTCAGGACCGTACTCATAATACGTCGGCGAGCCCACGGCCGCGGCTGCGAGCGCGAGCTCGTCCTCGATATTGTTCGGCCTGCAGCTCGTAGTCTTCCAGTGGGTTCTAAGGCCGCTCGCACTAATGTACTTCTTGTCGCAGCCCTGGCAGGTGTAGGGCCGCTCGTTCGTGTGCAGCCTCTTGTGCAGCTTCAAATGGACAAACTGGGTGAACTTCGCGGGACAGAGGTCGCAGGCGTACGGCTTTTGACCGGAGTGCAGTCTAAGGTGAGTCTTGAGATTCGAGGTTGAGCTGAACCTCTTCTTGCATATCTCGCACTGATGCGGCTTTTCACCTGAGAACATAGACGCGTTGGTATATTGCGTAAACACAAACGCAATAAGGGGGTAAGTTTGAAGTTATAACTGGCGAGGTTATTTCACCCGCAGTCACGTTCGTTCGTGACGTCGGATGTAGCTCGAATAATTTAAAGGTTAAAAGACTATGCGTGTAAAAGCACGGTAAAGTATAAATTAAACGAATCTTGATATTTGCCACACAAAAAACGAATTTCAATGGATTTTTAAGAGAAATAATATATCTGTAATTTATTATTTATAATATCTCTATGACTCTATATATATATATATATATATATATATATATATATATATATATATACGTGTACTGCAAATTAGTACATATCATATTTGCCTGAATGCCCGATTGATTTTTAGCTTCTTTCTTCCAGATCTTATATGATATAGCGAATCTTGAATGGTAGAAAAATATATGGCATCATCACTGATTAACATTATGAAAGTCTTCAAGAACTAAGTGAGCCTTTTGAACCACTTGAAGAAAGCACTCGAATTGTGATGGTCCCAACTGTGGAGTCATCACAGCAATCATTATAGTATTCCTGGATTCAAACAGTGGAACCATTGCGGATAAATGGTTAAATTAAATCATGACTTAGGATATATCCATATCGTTACGATATCATCGGTGAATTCTACGACAAGAGTCAACGTGTTGAAGAAACCGAGATAGGTCGTTCCACTACGACTTTTCGATAATCGCCCCAGGATCGAAGTAACCACGTCAAACCACCCAACGTATCGTTGCCTTGGCGAACGCGTGCTTACCGGTATGCACGAGATGATGCTTCTGGAGGTGCGCGAGCTGCGTGAAGCTCTTGGTGCAGACGTTACACTTGAAGGGCCTCTCGCCGGAGTGCGTCCTGAGGTGCACCTTGAGGTTCGACAGCTGGCCGAAGGTCTTGCAGCACACGTTGCACTCGTAGTGCATCTTGCCGTCCTTTTTCTTGAGCGGGTAAGGCAACGACCTGTAGCCCCTCGAGCCCTGCGAGTTCGGGCTCAGCGAGCCGCTCTGGGAACAGCCGTGGTCATCCGGCGACAACGAGCTCGCCGGCGAGTATCTGTTGAGGGACGACGAGTTGGCGTGGATGGTGAGGCCTGGATGGTGGCCTAAGTGGAGATTGTGCGTGCCGGCGATCAACGCCTGGTTGCCGTCCATCTGCATGGTCGACGAAGTGGGCAATTGGTGGCTGCTGCTGGCCGCCTCCAACCTCCTGCCGTCTGACCTCTCGTAGACCACGTTACCGCTCGGCGTGGGCGAGTAGGCGGTGCAGTTGATGGACAAGGGCGCGACGTTGTGGTGGAGCGAGCCGTTTTGGTGACCGTAGAGACTGTACGGACTGTAGGACGAGGGTGACTGGATCGGCGAGATCGGCGAGACGCTCTGATTGTTACCGGCTCCGCCGGTAGCGCCGCCGGCCGCGGAGTTCGAGTAGACCGGGCTGGCCTCGATCTGGCAGTTACCCGAGCTGGAGTAGAGGATCGTCGGGGTGGACACGCCATTCTGGCTCGACGGCGACGGCGACTTGGTCTTCCGCTTGGGCGGGCAGCCGCTCGTCGTCGTGGAGGAGTGCGGGTTGCCGCTGGTGGACGTCAGTATCGTGCTGGACGATAGCACGCTGCTGCTGGAGTGAATACCGCCGCCGTTACCTCCGCCGCCGGCGGCGGCCCCGCTGCCACCGCCGCTACCAGGGTTGCTGGACGAGTGCAGACTACCGGGATGCGGTGGTAGAACGGCGCTCGCCGAGCCGGTGCTCGAGTGCAGCCCGCCCGTGCTGGAGTGCAGATTGCTGGTGGGACTCTGCATAGGCGGCGCACCGTTGCCGCTGGTCGAGTTGACGCACGAGTCGGTTTGCATGGGTAGATTCGAGCTGGAGTCCGGACTGCAAGGTAGGATGTTGCCGTAACGGTGGGACTTCTTGTAGGAGTACGCCATCTCGGTTGGGCTGGAGGGCGGCGGCGTCACCGAGTCCACGTGGGTCTGATGGTGCATTTGGTGGTGCTGATGATGCTGCTGCTGCTGCTGCTGCTGTTGCTGCTGCTGCTGCTGTTGCTGCTGCTGCGAACCACCGTTGTGCTGATGATGCTGGTGGTGGTGGTGATTGTTGTTGTTGTTGTTGTTGTGATGATGGTGATGGTGGTGATGGTGGTTGTGGCTGTTGTTGTTGTTGTTGTCGGTGCTGTTGCGCAGGAGAATGTTCTCCAGGATGGAGCTGCTCGGGCTGGTGAGGTAGGCGGGTCTGCCGGACATCGGCAGGCCACCCTTCACCTCCGGCTCGTAGAAGGGCTTGGCGTTCTTCTCGGAAGGAACGACCTCGTCCTCGCTCACGGTCGACAATATGGCGCTTTTCTGGAGGATGACCGGCGACATCGGCTTGTGGAGTTCCGGGCTAACCGCCCGGCTGGAGAGCTCCTGCTCCTTGTCCTTCGCCGGGCCGTCCAAGCTCTTCGCCGTCTGGAAGTTGCCATAGGTCTTGGAGATCTTGATCTTCACCTTCCTGTACTCATTCTTCACCGCGGCGTTGTCCTGCTTAAGGATCTCGTCGCTGCACACCGAGGACTTGGCGTTCTTGCTGAAGTCCAGCACGTAGTTGTTCTCGGAGTCGGACTCGCTACTCTCCTCGGGCGGCGTAAGGATCTCGTCGTGGTAGCCGTTCGAGTGGTAACCCTCGTCCGACCTGACGGAACCGTCGGTCGGCGTCATCTGCGAGCGCCTCTCGTAGATCGACGAGTCCTTAAGCGGCGACACCACGTCGACGGTAGGCGGGATTTCCGTTGGTAGCGCCGATTGTTGTACTTGTTGTCCTGTAAAATTTCGCAACACGCGTTGCAAATTCGTCCTTTACGGTTTTTCAGTCGCGCACGGAATCTCTGATATTTCGCACGGCACCGGGCACGTGAGCGGGTAGAACGTATTATCAGGACACTTTGTATGCCGTGAATAATGATTTCGTTTTGTATCTTTGAAGTTGCTCTTAATACAGTAGGAACAAACAGCTATCAATAAATCACAATTCATATACGCGTGAATAAGCGACAGTTATCCTTGTGATATCAATTGTAGTTGGAATTAAAACAATTTGTTACAGATTTCACATGTTATTTTTTGGGAATATTGATTTACGTATTTGCTAAAATATTAGCTCGTCGGCGAACAAGTTTCGTGTGTATTTTGAGTAGGTATTGGATATTTTTGTAATTCACCGTAGTGCGATAACAGCGCATATTTATCGGTAAAATGAAATTTTATCAAATCCGAATCACAAACGATAAAGCTTCTCGTATCACTAATCGTTATTCAGATTTGAAATTTGACTTCCATATTTTTTACGAATATTGACTATTAAATATTTTCTGAACTAGTAACTCGATGAGTATTCTTTATATTGTAAACAATTGTCAACAAAATCCTTTTTTTATATTTTTATAATTTTTTAATATATATATTCTATTCTGTTCAATGCAATCTACTTATACAGGTTTCACCATCCTGTATGTTTTGTTTATGTATAATTTATTGTAATTTACTGCAATATATTATAAATTATTACTATATTATAAATTATAAATTATCTGTAATTTACTATATATTTACCTTGCATATTTATATGAACTTTTGCTTCTCTTTTGGTGACTGGCACCGTTTTAATTCAGGGCCACGGGTTTTAAATCACTATATTATTGTAACTTTCCGTAGTGCAATAAAAATGCACTGTTGATGATGAAATGAAATTTTTAAATTTAAATCATCACATAAACTTTTCTTATTACTAATTATTATTTGCATTTTCAGTCTTATTACAGTTTTCCCGCGTTATAATTCGTTCAGCGAGTATTGACTCACGTATTTTCTGAGGCGTCAACTTATCGGTGAGTGTATGTTTCATCGATTACGAATTATTATTGAGTTTTCCCCCTTTCTGTTCGTGCAATTTTTCGAGGTATGATAAAAATGTATTATTAATGATGAAGAAAATAAAATGCTAAAACGCGGATCTTGAATAATCAGTATTCTTTCCGCAACTGAGATTGTTTAATTTAAATTTAAAATCTTGTAACAATTTTCACGTGTTATTTCAGACAAGTATCGATTTACTTCCCGAAGCATCAGCTTGGAAGTCGTCAAATGCTATATTGTGAACGATTATCGCGAACTTCTTCTGTGTTTGTATAAGTTTTTGAAAAAAATGCATCGTGTCAATGATGAGGTGAAATATTCAAACACGAATTATAAACGACAATTTTCATCGTGTGATTATCTGTCGTATGAATGAAAAATTTCGTTACAACTTCCGCATGCTATTTTAAACGAGTATCAATTTACATACATTTCGAAACATCAGCTTATCAGCTGAGTACGTTCCATATTGTTGCCGATAATATGCCGTGTTTCTCTTAAACAGTTATCGAGTTATCTTTCTTTGTGCACGGAGAAAATATTATAGCAAAAATTACTACAAAAATTTTTAGTGCTAAACTATATCGGAATTATTATTGAAATTATGCCGTGTGTTGTAATCTTTAGATGTGTATGTATGATACACATCACTAAAGATCACAATACACATCATAACTTCAGTCATAATAATAATAATAATTATTGTATCATAATTTCAGTATGGTCTAACATTGCAAACTTTTGTAGTAATTTTTACCACAATATTTTCTCTGTATATTTTTGTAAACTTTCCGCGGTGCCATGCGAGAGAGAGAGAGAGAGAGAGAGAGAGAGAGAGAGAGAGAGAGAGAGAGAGAGAGAAAACGCCTCGTAAACGTTAATAAACTTCAAAACAGTAGCATCACAGAGATGACAAAGCTTCCCTCGTGATTGTTACACACAAATTTGAAGTTTCCACCGTTTCCTCTCGCGCTATGCTAGCTCGGAATGTCGACTTACGTATTCTCTGAAGCATCAGCTCGCCGGTGAGCGGATAATTGAGCCTTTCCGCAAACTCCCTGCAGTACCAAACCAGCAACTCTTGATTTGGTAGTATCGGCTTGATCGTGTAAAAATAAATGTTCATCTGAAACAGGTGTACGAAGAACGATTGAGTCCCGATTTCCTCTTACCCCGCTCGCTAATCCGAACGCGGTCTGAAAATACATGCGCCCGGCGAGATGTGCACTCGGTGAAATTGCTTTACCTTATACTGGCATGCTATTAGGTTTTGCGATTCGGACGAGTAGGCGGGATTCACGTAACGCATCCAATTCGATTTCTGGACGTCATAACCGTCGATGTAGTAGAACAGCTCGTTGTTCTTATACACCTGATAAAGGAACAGATTTTTATGAGTGAACCTACCTCTTGCGCGCAGCGGACTCTCGCGGCTTTTCGTATTCGCGATCCGACTGACTACCTCTTACGATTAATTTGAAAGAGTACCGAAGGAATGTGATTTCGAAAAGTCACATGTTCTAGACATTATTGGGGAAAAAATAGATTTAATTAATTGTTATATTAATTATATGTAAGAGCGAGCAATTTAAATTTATCAATTTTACATCTTATTATGAAATTTGTCTTTTTTTCTCAATAATGTGGCACTGTTTTGTAACGAGTACAAAAATTCGCGCAACCTGTTAATAATAAAGAAATATAATTTAAAAAATTTGTTCTTTGATTGTCACAGTATTGTCACACTAAATAACAACGTGCAAGCAAAAAAAAATAATCGAGTGTTTCCTTCGAATCTATATCAATTTCACCTCTCATTGCCAATTTGTTTCTTGATTTTATTATTTTTTTATACATTGACATTGTCTCGAAACAGATGGATTTAGCTGCAACAATCGTGCAACTATTTATATATTTATAATGAAAAAAAGTGCAATTTTAAGGATTTAATTTTTAATATTCCCAATTTTGCCTCTTGTTTCAATATCTTTTTCTCTTTTTGCAAACTGCCGCTGTTTTCCGATAGATACGTAGATTTAGAAGATTCGCGCGATCCAAAGAAGTAATACATGCGATCGACACGCGCAGTAATGAGCTATAATACACCGCGAGGAACCTGGAGCAAAATTCGCAAAGGTGGTCAACGCTGATCGCGACTCCACCGTTATACAAGAAAACACCGAAAAGGCACCGGTCACTCCTCTGGCACTCGGTTGCGTCCACACTTTATACATCCCAGTGCACATACATACACACACACACACACACACACACACACACACCGTGTGTGTCTCGCGGCGGAGATCTCGGCGAGGAACCGTCGGCGTAACTATCGTAATGAATTGATGAGTTACGAGGCATCAATGGCTTCGTGGGTTTCGCTTTAAGGCTCGCCAGATTGAGCTGAAACCAGTTTCTGATCTTCACTGGCTTCTCCTCCTGCCGTTTCTCGCGGCTTTTCTTTACCCTCACGTCGTCTCCTTCCTTCCTTTCTTTTCGCCAGGCTTGCGTTACGCCACCGCGACCTTGCGTCCGCGTTGACCGGTACCTCCTCGAAGTGAAATGTTAACCGCTCCGCTACGTAATCCGCCACGGAACGGAGTATCCAGGCGCGGTTGAGTAACGCACGCGTAAGGAGAGGCTCTTACCCGCCAGAAGTACTTCCGGTTCGCGTCCGCCGGCACCGAATCCTTCGTGTACACCTGGCCGACCAGAGGACCGAAGCGTGTTCCCTTGGGGATGTAACTGGTGCTCCACACACCCAACACCTGCCACACGTATAATTTCCGATTAATCTCGATTAATGTCGAGTACGATCGGGACGATCGACGGTGTGTATTTCGAGAGCCGTGACAGGTATTTATAAAGGCCAGTCGGCGTCGACCATCCACAGTCGACTCCGCTTCTCGCCTCTCGCGACTCAAGTATTCATATGTCCATCAATTTCGCGGTCTCGAGAGAATTCTTAAATGGGACTCGGCGACTCGATGTCGTAGATTTTCGCCCGGTTCTTCGGTGATTCGAGATAGAATCCCGAGCGAGAGCTGATGTTCGAATTAACGTTCTTCGTTACTACGCGCCGATTTTCACGAAAGATGTCACGTATTTGTGACAGCGATAATTTTCCATTTTATATCCAGCAAAAACAAATTAACTCTGGTTTACATAACTACGTAGAAATGAAGGTGAAAAATATACGGCGCTCTGCGGCGCATGATTTGTCAGATGACTGTTTGATAACGAACTTGTTAACCTCTTCAGGGATGGATTTATTAAAATTCTAAAATGAGTTAATTTTAAAGTGACATAAATATGACATTTGTAAATCATGTGACGAGATTTCTCTTTACTTGTGGAATTTTGTGGTGATTGTTTATTCACAGTAATGTTCGTTATATTTCATCGGAAATGTCCGAAGTTAAAAGGGAAAATTGGAAGTGTCTGTAATGAGAAAAATAATTTGCAAAACAAATTTTATGCCGCCGCAGCAAAATCTGTTATCACGCGGGCAACAAAAAGGTTTATTAAAAATATTAATTGACGTCCGTTGGATATATTTTGCTATAAGAACAAATTAGTAAATGTAGGAAAGCACTATTTTGCTCTAACAGCAAATTAACGTGTCCTAAAGACAAATTCATTCGACAAAATTTTGCTATTCTGGCGAAAAAACTATTTCTGCTCTAATTACGAATAATTCGCTAATTTAATTACATCATATAAATTTTGTTGTAACGAATATGCAGTAGCAACGATGGCTTCGCTGCGACAGCAAAATTATTTTTCTCTACACAAACATATATACATATAAAAATATATACAAACATATATATATATACATATATGTGTCGGTATCCTTGAAAAAGAATATATAAAAAGCAAGAGAAAATAAAATGGTTAATTTCACTGAAATTAGTGATTTTTGGCGACGACCATATTTTTGGTTGTTCTAAGAATATGTTAATATAATAGCAAAATGCAGGCAAGATTATTATCACTGATATTATAGCCTTTACAGCAAGGAGGATTTTTCAGATTAAACATGGATGATAACTCGGTTCTTATAACTGAATTTCTGTTCATTACTCATCAGACAAGAACTCTCTTGTAAGAATAGAAATTTCTGAAGGTTTCTGTCAAGAGAAAAAAAAATTTTTATTCTCAATCGAATTAGTCATTTGTAATGTCAATCATATATTTTCGTTATTCTAATAAAAAAAGTAGCATTATGCTGCTACTATTTTTTTATTATATATATATTACACATAAACTTATATATATATATATATTACACACACACACACACACACACACACACACACACACACACACACACACACACACACACATATATTACACATAAACTTATATTAATTATTATTAGCAGTTTTTTTTTAGTAGCGCTTACTCCAAAAATTATTCCCCCTGTAATTATTTCACGCACACAATTTTAGTCACAGCTATTGGGCACTTTTTTTCAATAGAACCGAATTTTAATGCAGACGAACATTTGTTGTCGCAGCTACAGACAAATCGTTCCTCGTCATCGAGTTTTTTCTCCAGCCCTAGTTCCTCGGGGAACAGAAATTCAGTTACACGAGTCGGGTTTTTTCTTCCGCGTAATTGCTTCACTATGCAATTATAGTCACGAATAAACCGAGCGCTTCTCGACGCAACTTCGAGCGCGATTGTCGAAATCGCCGGGGCTCTTCGGGACTTCAAGTTACTCTAAGCCGCGCGACTCGAAGTCGCCTTCCCCGCGGACGAATCTCGCGGCAAGGATCGACGGCGTGCCCTCCGGAATATCGCCCGAGCGGACTCAAACGAGGCGGCGAACGATCGACGGCGAATACACCCGCGCGCGTGTTTGCGCTCTCCGATATTCCCCGTCGCCATTCGCTCGTCCCGCACGGGTTATTTTGTTAAAATATGCGACGGAAGATAGAAGCTATTTCCAGCCCGTCTCGCGCTAGAATAGAATCCGCCTATCGCACAGAGACGTCTGTATGGCGAAACTAATTTAACTCTTCGGCTCGCCTTCAGTCCAGCTCGCGCGCGCGCGCGCTTGCACTTCGATTAGCCCCGCGCGCTCCTCGATATCGTCGCGATTCGCAACATCCCTCCCGGATGTTCTCCCTCGCGTCCGGCTGGAAATCTCGCACGCGCACGAGAGACGGGGGAGTAACTGAGTTGAAATTCCGCTTCTGCATTCGGTCTTAACTTTTCGACGTTTACGAATCCCGGACGATTACGACGGATTCATTTGCTCGGTCAGTCGAAAAGTTTAATTCACCAGATGACGTTGGCTCGTATGATACGGGCAATAACGCTGTGTGATATGTATTATAATAACGTTGCACAGGGTGTTACGATAATTTTCTCGGTATCCGTGATGCGCAGGTAGAACGAGTGAAGCTGAATGGAAAAGTCATGTTGCCATTTTGCAAAATTTGAAATATTTAACGAGGAATTAATTAATCTGTATGAATTAATGAACGTACGGAAAACCACAAGAATATGAGAAAATTACGGTATGTTATTGAAAAACTATTGTTCCCCAATAGTATCAGCAATTTTTTCGTATTCTTGTAGTGTTTTCCCGTACGAGGAGGAGCTGTAGACCGGATTCTGTATAAAAGAAATGATCCACTGAAAATCGAGCAACGATGAGTACTAACTGATAACGAAAGGCACGTTTCTTTTCAGCGCGCAACCCTGTATGACATGCTGCTTGTTGCATAGCACGCGGAAAAATGTAAGACGTAAGAAGTAAGCAATTGACCGATCACCGTCGATTGTTCTTCGATCCTAAGAAGAATAATCAAATAATTAACGTTCGATCAATTTTCTTACTGTTCAAGTTTTACTGCTTATGTTTTTATATGCGCTAGAAATCAATTCATATTCGTCGTTGCTAGGAGATTTTCAGAAATAAGTCATTTTTCTTTATACAGAGCCGGTTCCCGCTTCCGGTGCGCTTATTAGCTCACATAGATCAATTAATTCCTCATTAATTATTATGAATTTTGCAAAATGGTGTATAATTTTGCTGTTCAGTTTCATCCGTTCTATTTGTATATCACGGATCCCGAGAAAATTATGGGCCATCCTGCATATATATAATTAAAGAGAGAGAGGAAGAGAGAGTTTATATATTATATATAAATATAAGACGTTATACATAATATATAATATATAAGAATATGTATAATATATAATAATAATGTATTCTGTGTGTTTCCGGAATAGTGATAAAAGAGAATAAACAACAGCGGCGATTTTTTGGATGATAAGTAATTTGTTTCTATTGAATATGCAATAACGTCAAATTTAATTTAGAAACTGCACTTAACCTTTTGACTGACCGAACACGCATTTTTTATATCAGATTTTTGCACCAATTTGATGTTAAATTTTATCTGACATTTCTACTTATATAAGTTCTTATATTGAATTTTTAAATTAAAATAAGAGTCACGAGCTTCGTCTCTCAGATAAGTAGTAATTTCTTAATTAGAGGTTTGAAACGAGAGGAATTAAAAATTCAAGCCCGAGTAGAATTTAGCTTCATTTTTAGTTTCAATTTCTTCAGGAACGATTTTATTAAGGTCAAAGGAAAATGATGTAATTTTAAGGTGATCTGAACATGACATTTGTCAGATATATGACAAGGTTTTTCTCTCTCTTGTCGAAAAATTGCTTAGTAAATATTTATTGATAATAATGCTACATTTTTATCAACGATGTTTGAATTAAAGAGAAAAATATAGTAAATATTGGTTAAGCGAGTTGAAAAAAGGTCCATCTGATTAAAGCGTCAGAATAGGCGTTAACTTCCTAGTTGCCACGAATATCACTGTTGTGTACACAGTAGAATAACTTTTAGAATAACTTTAACTCGAACGGCTTAAAATTCTTTAACCTCCGAGTTTCCTTTTCAGGGAAATATGGGGCGATGCCTGAGGACTATTGAGAGTGAAGGAAACTTACTTCGTCCGGATTTTCGTCCAATTTTCCGGTATTTAAATAAAATTACTTAGCATTACCTTGGATCCATTTAAGAGGATACTTTTGAAAGGCTTCGCATATAATCACATTCGGGGGTCGATAATTGATACAAAAGATAACCCAATTTACATAAAAATGAGAATTCGGCGGTGGAGAAAAGTTGAATTTTTGAATATTGAAAATTAGGTCCAAAATGGCAGGGAAATTTGGATTCGAGCTAGTCCTGCCGATTGACCGAGCGAACGTTCTCGGTTTTCGCTGTCGAGGAAAGTGTAACGATTCGACGTCGCTTCTGAGTAACGCCTCGTAAGTTAATTAGCCCCGTCACTCGGTCGAGTTTGATTTCCTGGCCAACGCCTTCGTCCGCTCGCTCGTTTGCTCACAAACGAGATCGGCGGTTTAACGGATCGCGAATTTCACCCGAAAGCTGAGTCGGCTTCCTCGACTCGTGTCGACTTCGCACGCAAGCTCAACCTCCTCACAGAGGATCGACGATTAGTGGTGGCCAATTGCGTATACCTGAATATCTCGGGTACTACCTGAGTGTCTGAGCCTTCCGGGTATTCCCCGAATAGCCGAGTACCCGGACATTTTTGAAATTACTCGGATATTCGGGTATGCAGTTAATATCTATGCAGCTATTTATTTTCATTACTGTGTCTTCTTATTTATTTTTCATTAAATAAAATTACGTAGATAACAGATCATTCTATGTATAAAGATAATAAGGTAAGGTTAACGAAAAGTAAATACCTTACGAAATAATTAATTTTTAAATATCAAGATATGCCGGGATAAAATATGAATATTTGGAAAGGCTTTGTAAAGCTTTGAAGGCAAACAATTGAAAATAACAATCAATATTTATACATTTACATATATATGCTATATTTATACAATACTTAATCAAATATATCGATGACTTTACTTAATATTTTGATGTGTAGTTTAGTAAAAATAAATGTATGTTAAAGAAACACACACGGTCTTATCAAATTTTGGAAATTTCAAATACCCAAGTAGAGTATTCGCGAATTTTGATACCTGAGTATCCGGTAAGTGAGTGACACTTGTGAATTTAGGTATTCGAATAAGGGAAACCGGGGCTATTGGGCTATAAGGGAAAGTTGGCTAATTGATTATTTCTGTTGTTTTCTAACAGGTTATCAACAACCATCAGTAGGAATCCAGCAAATAGAGATTTCATAACCATCATTGGCATGTTTGAAATCTCTTTTTGACCGATTCTGTAATCTGTTAGAAAATAGCAAAAATAATTAGCCAATTTACTCTTTCAGTCAACTAGTCCTAGTATTCTCTACTATTCTGCGTTGAGAAAAAAATTTGTGGAATTTGTAACTATAATCACATAAGTGAAAGAATTATAGCCAGGAGAACTATTTTCCCACTAATTTTTCTAATATTTTTTTCTAATAGTAATTTTTCTAGTCATAAGTGTTATCATACTACCAATCATAATAATCTTACATGCACATATTACTACTATTATTTTTCTTGCGTTGAAACCGGAAGAAGATAGTTAAGGTCGAAAATTATTTTAAATTTAGTGGGATCTTCCTCAATGTGGGATTTGATTATAAAAATACCCGAGTTACATTGCCAACACCCTCGACTCGCGGGTGGTAACCCGACAATTCGATTCGTCAGTAGGAAATGATCGCGTTCGCGAAATTGAACCCGACGATTACAGCGTCGAGGAGATTTCTCGATCAATTTCGGGGTGGGATTCTTTCATGATGGAGGAACATACATCGTTGAGGGCCTGAGAGGCTTTGAGGACCAGGTTCCGCGGCAAGGACGCCTCCGCACGATTGGTATCGCCCGGCGATGCTGCCACATCCGGTACCAAATATACGGCATGCTGTTCGAATTCCTCCTCCCTCAAGGTCGCGTGATCCCACTCGCTGGCCTCCATCCTTTGCTGCAAATAGAACGGAAGGCTTTCGTTAATTCGACTCTCCACTTTCGGGAGGGGTACGCGAGAATAGCATCTCTCTATATATCGACTTTCCTTGGCGCGATAATACTTCCTCGCCCCGACGGTTTCCTTATTCATTTCTCTTTATTCTTTATTCTTCAAATTTTTATAATAATTAATCTCTATGAACGGGAAAAATCCTTTAGTACACGCGACATGCATTGCAGATGAATAGACGGAGATTAAAAAGAAGAAAAGAAAGAACCGTGTTCCGCTGATAAAGAAGAATCAGCTGTAGATAAAATAAATATTATAAATAATAAATAAATAATAACAACGTGGTATATAAGTAACACAAAATGTACAAACAAAACCAAGAAATTTTTCTTTTGGACATTTTTGGAATAAATGCTATTTTCTTTTCAAAACTACCGTAAGATTTTAAGAAAAAAAATCTTTTAAACAGATTTTAAGAGAAAAATATTTTTCTTATGCGGGTTCCATCTTCACCATCACGATTGTGATAGAGGCCTAAAGGGGTAAAAGGGTAAAAGATATAAGAGACCATTTAAGCGTATACAGTATGCCACGATCGAAATCAACGGAAACGGAGAATAACAAATTTGCAACCGTGCGCAATTTTTGCTAAAATTCTCAAATGAGAATTCCCCGAGATCCTTCTCACGGCATTATTTCGCGATCGAGTGATTTCGCTCGAGGAGTGACTTCGCTGAAACTCGCGTTGCGAATTCTCCGTCGCGAGACGCTTGTCCGGATGACGTCTCGTCGCCGCTGTGTCGACATTGACGCGAAAAATCCACGCGTTTCGAGCATCCCCTTGGCAGCCGAGGCGGCCCTCCGTGCACTTTCGCGCCACTGCGAGAAATTTATCACCCCGGCGGCGGTAGGGTCGCACATAATCGAACGACGGATTAGCTGTCGTTTTAAGCGGATTACCGCACGATACATTAGGCGAGCGTCGAATCTTTACGGTGTATCCTTTGCGGATACCATCCATCCTGTCGCGCACGCACACGACTGTCACGTGCGTTTACCTTACCCTCGCCTTCCGCTTGATTCTACACGCTAACGGTTTCCCGGATGATCGTCGCGGCCGAGCCATTTTTCGCCCGTCCGTTCGTTCGCTCGCTCGTTTGTTCGTTCATTCGTTCATTCCTTCGCTCGTTTGCTCGTTCAGCAGCTTTCGAATGAATAATCGAAGCCGCGCCATTGACGGCGTGCTATTTTTTCCCCGGGCACTCGGGCTTCGTTTTTCGCAGGTCCATGTTCCACCTCTCTCTCTCTCTCTCTCTCTCTCTCTCTCTCTCTCGCAATTATTTTTATCGCGCACGAAAAATTCAGGCGTCATCGCACGGCGTCCCCACTCGCGGGACCCCTCTCGGTCGGCGCGCGATCGCTCTCGAAGGAATAATTAAGCGCCGACGACGCCGCGCGCGGTTCTATTTCTTGCCGCATGCATTTCCGGGGGCGAGGGGGCGGCGGCAGCCGAGACCAGCAGACTCCAGGAAATGATGAATTAGCAACGAGCCCCTCCGATCGCTCCTCGGACCGGCATCGGCCGGCCGGCCGGTCGGTCGGTCGGATTCGACCCGCGATCGATTGCGTGCGGAAATAAATAAGGCAACACATGGAAATAGAGTCGATCGTTGGTAGCGCCCGATAGCCTCCCCCCCTCCCCCTCTTTCCCTCCCGGACGATAGTGCGACGATTTTTCGTCGAAGATATTTACGGTCCGCGGTCCGACTTAAACCGACCGTCGGGGCGACGATTCATAATTGACGACCCGATAAGCTCGCGACGACGATCGCATCCGTAGAGACTCGTCGAAAATTGTGCGGCCGGCGGAGCCTCGGCGCGATGGCGCGTGCGATCGTTGTCGCACGAATTTTCCGCGCGATCGGGACTCGCGAATCGCACTGGAATCGAGCGGAGTCGTCGCGCGATTCCTCCTTCGCGTCGCGGGTTTTATACTCTCTCTCTCTCTCTCTTTCTCTCTCTCCCTTCCTCGCCGATCCCGGCTCTTCAATCTGCAGTGGTGCAACACTTTAACACCGCGAAAGTGAAACCCGTCCACGCATTGATCGACTGCAAGGGTGAGAAGGAGGGTGGGAGGGAGGGAAAGC